TAGAATATAAATGAATTTGTATTGATTTAAATCTGTGATCAAGAAATTGTAATGAACACCAGATCTTCCTTCTCACAATGTTTTTCTTTCACTATTTCCTCAAATTAATTTCCACACACTCTGTTCATGTTCTGCTTTAAGTCTAAATAGCTACATTTGTATACATGCATGAGATGCTAAAGGAGGAGGTGGGGGGCGGCGACAGAAGGGATTGTCTGTCAAATCAGGATTACCTGCTTAAACTAATGCAGAAAAATCCAATGGAAACATTACTGGTTTAGGCAATTCAAAATTGTTATACTGACAGTTTAATCCTGTACATTTCTACTCCGAGGATGGGCAAAAAATTTTCTCAGTTCACATTTTAATGAGAACTCATGCATTAAAGTTCTTTTCAAACTTACACACACATGAGGATAGCAATAATTGTAATTTTCTGAATTTTATGATATAGTTGACTAGTGAAAAACTGTATAGCAACACTGTGTGCAATAGGGAAAGGTGCACGAAAAAACGCATTTGGCTAGTTTCCTGTCTCTGTGCCAATTCTTCTGATGTTTACCTGGGAATTGTAAAGATAACGAGAGTGTGCAAGTCATGTGGATGCCATTTCTACTTTTATTTGACAACCTAGACCAGACATAAGCATAGCTATATACAGTGATGGACTAAAAGATGCCTAAAAATGTGGTACAAAAACCATAGGCAATCTTCTATCTGTGAAGTTGAATGTTCAAGGCCAATACCTAAAAACATCATGTTGGTTCCTAGTGACAAAAAAGACCCCCTTTCTAGCCATGTTTCCATCAATTAATAAAGAGCTTAGGAGTTCAAATATTTTAAAGGTTTAGTGTGTGTAAATCTTTAAGTCAACAGTTCAATTATTTCTCATTATCTTCCTAGACTTTTTCCTAAGGAACCCAAAGCTTGTATGTACCATCACACCCCATATAGCATATAGCTCAATTATGCTGAGACCTGAGCTACAGACACATGCTCTATCTATTTCAAGCTCGGAAAGTTAAGATAAGGCAGGTAGGTATGCCTGTGATGTCACTTTCAAAGCACATAATCCCATAAAGGGTGTTTTGTTAATCAGTCAACCATGGAAAGACTATTCATATAATAGTTGGTAACTTTTACTAATTTAAGATTAAATGTGAGTTAAAAATATGTATACAAATATCAGATTTCACTCTTTCTTATCTTTGGACTGTCATTAATATTCTATATTTACAAGTAACAAAGAATTTTATTTCCAGAATGTGTCAACTTTTACAAGAACTTTCAAAATAGGGGGCAGAGGGGGTGGGCTGCACAAAAGCAGGGAAACCACCAAATGATTGATATTTGGTGGAAAGCAGGGATGGCCATCTGGGAAACTAAAACTCTGGCTTTACAATTAACATACATGATAACAGCATTATTTTTACATTGCATCTATATCCTGCCTTTTTTTCTCTTGTGAGGAATGCTGGGCAGCTTACATAGCTCCATTTATCTTCATGGCAAGAACCTTGTGAGGTAGGTTAGACTAAGAGTACCTGACTGTCCCAAAATCACCCAGTTAGCCAAGTGGACACAAGAACCCAAATCTCACAAGTCCAACACTGTACTGTCTCTCTAAAACACATTACTTACTTTATGAGGAAGAAACAGTTATGTAACTATAATCTAGGTCAATAAGTAATATTTGATGTACCCTTCCCACATTTACTGTGATTCATTCCCAACATTCAACAGAAGCTGCAGTTCAGCTATGTAGGTACACTGAGTACTATAACATCTTCCTATTACATCACAGGCCAGATAAATTGCAGCATGTGCACTGCGCAACTGAGCAACTTTTTTTTTTTTCAACTGACAGTGAAACAAGCTGTTCATGTTACTTAATGCACATGCTGTTATTTACCTAGTTCATGATTTACTATGAGGACAGTGGAGCACACAACGTGCCTTATCAGAGCACAGTATCACGGATTATTACTAATATGCTGTGCTAACTGAAGGAAACCAAAGACACAATATTGGTTACTATCAACTCCTAGGTAGGTGAACGTGGAAGAGAAAAACCAGTAAGACCAATTGCTTATAATGAGATTAAGAGCACTAGAGATATACATGTTTTAAATACTGGACAATGGTAAGCAGGTAAAACAGAATGGTTTCAGTTTCAAGCAATTGCAAGAAAATTCAGTTGGCCTATATTTGTCTGATATTTCCTGTACTTGTAGGAATTGCTATTGATCTTTTAGCATGGCCTTTTCTAAGTCCTCTTTCAGTAACTTTGAGAATAATTCCTGTCAGTTTCCTGTCAGTTTCATTCCCATGACACCTTCAATGCAAATAATTAAGGCTCCTTTTGCCTGGAATTACTGAACTCCACTGTAATGACTATTATGAGTGGCAGTGATCATTTAAACATTACTCATTATCAATATTCCTACACGTGGCTAGGCACAATTTAGGCATGACTAATTGGAAGCAAGCCACACCTGTTTTCAGCTGTGTAGAACAGCCTGCGAAACATCTTTATGAAAGGAAATACAGGGAATACTTCTTCCTGTGAAAATGTTTTCACTGCCAGCTAAGTTAATACCACTTTTTGAAAAAGTATATGTACATATGTATTTGTGTATGCACATATGTTAGGCCATTTAGAAACATGTGGGATGATTATGTACAGATATTTGTTGCAAGAATTGTACTAGCTACAGCTATGACCCAACGGGACACCAAAGGTTTATAAATATCGTTAGCAGCAAGGTTGTGCTGAATACCCACATTGCCAGTTTGTTAAGTGAACTGCAAAAGAAAAGCATGACAAGCCAAATGTCATCTCATGCCTGAGTGTGGGTATGCCAGATGACCAGACATAAGCATTAGTACAGCAGAACAATGATTCATCCAGTCTGGTATCCTGTCCCTAGTGGAAACCAACTATGGATGCTTCTAAGGAAAGGTCACTCCTCAATAATGAACCTATATTTGCAATAATATAGTGGCAGGGAACATTGCTTGGCCCCAGCTAGCGATCAGCTTACATTCAAAGCTGGAGATGGTACTGAACATTTCACTCTTCTTAACCAGCCTATTTACAGTAATGCTTCTGTTCATTTAAGAAGAGGCAAAGTAAATTCTAATATATCTCTTAGAGGCAGTGGCTAGCAGAAATTATCCTAAAGTATCCATATGTTAAGTGTGTATTGCAAGTATATGGTTTACGCATATGTAAATACCTGTAACCCCCCCAAGATACACAGACTTACAACACAGAAACATATTCTGCTTTGTTGTACATCTGTAGTTTGAATTCAGTTCAGTAGCAGAACATTGAGTCACAGAAAGTGCCTTTAAACACCAAATATTTTGGCATTGGTGCTAAGAATCAGTATTCTCTGTGAATACACCTCATTTTTAAAGCCATCCTGTCCACAGAAGGGCCAAATTGCAGTTTAACATCCCTAACTTTCATTGGGGAATGTGGAGGCCGTTTAAATAGCAGAAAGTTTTATCATGCCGGGAGGCTGATTCCTCTCATGAATAAACAACCATTACGAATAAACGTGGTAGGCAAGTGCCTGAGTCAAAGGTAGAGCACATACTTTGCATGAGAAGGTCCTGGGTTCAGTCTCTGGCATCTCTACACTGGAGTAGAAAATACGAAATGTCCCGCCTAAGTCTCCTGAGAGCCTCTGCCAGCCAATACTGGGCTGGATGGACTGACGGCCTGACTCCGTACAAGGCAGCGTCCTATGTCTGCAGGGTACCACCCGCACAATGTTACATTATCCCCATATTGCGGATAGAACGGGATATTTCAAAGACCGAGATGAGCTTCATAGTAAAAACAAGATTCAAACCAGAGACTCCAGTCTTTTTCAGTATAATCCTATTCCTGTCTATTGACATAGATAATATTTAGGGATGGAATTTGTCATAAAAAGAATGTGGGACCCCCTCCCCCATATGGGATCATGATCAGGCCTTACTCTGGTTGATGGAAGTATCTGTTCGCATAAGGAACCCCCACTAATTTTTAGGGTTCCCACCCTGTTCTACCCTATACTGCCCCTCTGTGCAGAATGTTAAGCGGACTGGGCAGGTTCCCGTGGGCAGGAGGAAAAGGAGCGTCTGTTTCCATCAGCCCAGCTGCACATGCCTACATCTTAGTTCTAAAAGGCCACTACTAGTAGTCTGCCAGACTAGGGCTAGACTACTCCACAAGCACGAAATGGGAAGTAGGAATATGTGCAGTGCCAATAATCCACGCACATGATTTCATACATAGATTACGCATCAAGTTACAAACCTCACCATGCATATAAGTACCATTTTATCAAGGACCTGAGCACTGGTAACACAAATACAATTTTCTAGCCTAGTTTTGGAAGACCAGCTAGGCAAAGGTACCCATTTTACAGATGACATACATGAGTGAAATTTAATTTTTAAATTGTTTCTTTTGGTTTATTAGCCAAACCAAGTAAATGGTTAAATGCCAACACAAACACACACACACACACCAGGATAATGACCAGGTAGATCAGGTCTCAATTGTGAAATGATGAAGGGCACAATCAGCTGCATATTTAGACAGAATCCGTGGCTACTGGTCATGGTGGCAGGAGCATATTGGGAACTGTAGGACTTTTCTTGACTAAACATGCAGCCGACTGCATCCTCAGTAGCCTCCCTTCCTTCCCCGAGTTCTGTCCACAGTAGTTCCACTGAATTCAGAGGCGCGCGCGCCCAAGCAAATGGGTACAGCCGGAAAGGTACATTAGGATATTTATTTATCGCAACATTGATCTACAGAAGTGGCACGCGAATTGGTGCCCTTCCGATGTTTTCTGGTACGACTCCCACCTGCCCCCGCCAGCCTGACCAGTCGTCAAGGATGACGGGAGGGGGAGTCTGAAACATTCAGGATCCTAGGAAAGCTGTCGAGACACCCCCGAGAACGCAAGCGCTGCCGAGGTCGGCAGCTGGTCGATTACCTGGGATGGCCAGGTTGGAAAGAGGCAGGGCGTAGAGAGCGGGCGGCAGGGAGCCCATCCAGTCCGCGTTGCTGCCTTCGGCCGCCATCCTCTCTCCCGCGGGCGCTCTCCGCTCTGGGGGAGCCGCAACCCGCTCGCTCCGGCCCGCCAAGCACCTGCCTGTCTTCAGCGTCAGCAGCGACTCCTCCAGTGACTTGCCCGCCAGCAGCGCGTTGCGATACCCGCCTCCGGCGCCGTCCGAGGTGATTCCTCTGCCATGCTCCGCAGGACCAACCCGGCGCCACTTCTCGCCCTGCCCTGCGCAGCCCCGCCTCAAACGCTAATCCTCCGCGCCCGCTCGCCTGGGCTGTCTCGGGGCTAACCCGAGCTGGGGAGAGGCGAAAGGAGCCCCTGAGGACACCTGCCCTCCCGCAGCCAGCCAGCCAGCCAGCTCGGCCGCCTTCCGCAAGTTTCGGCGGCTGGCACGCCTCCCTCCCTGCTTATGTAACAGGGACTCAGTCTTCGCGCGCGCCTGGCAGGCCGAGGCACCCGCGGCCGCGCCTTTGCGCCGCGCAGCTGCTGCACCGGGAGCCCGGCGCGCAGCGGCCGCCTCGGACAGACACGGCGCAGGCCGAGCCTCGGCGCGCTGGCCCAGCGCTCGTGCCTCGCGTGCCCGCACGGCGGGGCGCCGGCTCGGAACCGCGGCCCATGGGTGGAAGGCTGGCGAGCCGCCTCGGCCCCTTCTGCTCTCGAAGGTCTCGGATTGCCGAAGCATCTGGCCTCAACCTTCGGTCCTCTGCGGCCGAAGCTGCGCTAGAAGGCGGAGCTGGAGATGGCGTGGGGAGCGCAGGAAGAGCAGTGAGCATCAGAGCAGTGGCTGGCTATTTTCTTTCTTTTCTAAAAAGAGGGACGGTAAAGCGAGTGCTAATTATAGCTTTCTGCTCTAAAGGTGCGTCCGGGACGGCGCACAGGACTGCGATGTTCATAGACGAAGGGCAAGAGTGCTTCTCGGAAAGGGACGTCGACCCTGACATGTGAAATAATGGATCACATTCACCGCCTCGTTTCAGTTCGTGTGGCCGATTCCATCTGTTGTCAGGATCCCTTGCTTGCACTGCGGACAGGCAAGGGCCACGAAGGAATCCCACCTGAAACGCTGGAAAGATGCGTACAGGGGGCGGGGAGAGGCAACCCGAGGCTCGGGAGCCGCATATGGCTGTTAAAGGTTTGTTTGCGGCTCGCAGCTTGCCGCCCGTGGGAAACTGTGGGCGCCCCCTCGTGGCTCTCAAACACCTAACACTTAGCTATGTGGCTCTTCTGCTTATAATGTGGAGCTTGGTGCAGGCTTTGCGGCGGGGTGGGAGGGGGAGCAGAGCAGCCATCCCGTGAGTTTTTTCCGCACCTGGGACTTCTCTCTGCATATGTTTCTCTACACAATGCAAGGTCACACAGTGGTATAAAGTGGAATTGAAAGGCAGCGTGGCATAGTTTTGGACTGGGACTTGGTATGTCAAGTCCCCCATCCCCAGTGTGGCTGTGAGTCTCACTGGGTGACTTTGGGCTAGGCACTAATTTTCTGCCTAACCTATCTCACAGAGTTGATGTGACACTGTAATATGGAGGAGGATTATGTACACTACTTATGATTCCTTGCAGAAAAACTGTCAGGATATAAATATAAATAAATGAACTATGAATTTATACTAGGTTTCTGCAGCAAACAGTGACAGTAACTTTCCATTTGTCATGATACTTTAACAAGGAAAAAATATGGTCTAATTTATAATCAAATGCTATTTCATTTTTTACAAGAGTTGATTGCATATTGAGATGCTTAATTTTTAAAGAGGTGAAAAGTCTTTGAGCAAAAATTATTTCTGTATTTTATTTTTCCATATCATGTAATTATAAAAATAAATCAAAGAGAACACAATACTAAAGGAGCCATTTCTTTATCTTCTTTTTAAAATCCTCCTTCAATAATCTCATTTCAGTTGCCCTAGTTATTTTCAAAGCTTTAGTAACATGCTTTCACTTCTTTCCTGCAAAGTAGAAATTTCTTCTTTAATCGGATTGAAGGCCAACCTACCCCATTACAACCAGGGTTGCCATAAGTCACGGATGACTTGGCAGCATGTACCAACAACAGCAGCGATAACTGATTTCCCTACTGTTTTGTTTTTACACATTGCCTTGAATGGGGTCAGCTGCTAACCTGAGGAATGAATACAATGACTGGGTTCACAGGACAGGCTAAGCCCCTGGGAAGGAGCGGCTTATAAACCAGCCCAAACAGCCCTGGCTTGTGAGGTTTAGGAAACCCACCTTGGCTTTGCATGCCATCCAAACCCCGATGATGCACTAAGCCAGAGTCAGGCCAGAAAGTGAAGGGGTCCCTTGGCAAGAGTGCCAAAGAGGGTTGCCTCTGTGGCCGTCCCACACCCATTTCTCCTTCTGAAGACCCATTCAGGCTTGAGTGACAGGAGAACAGCTTCCTCAGCAGGAAACAAGCCCGAGTGGGCCCTTCTCATCTGCCCTCCAACCAAACTTTGACATTCCCACTGGTACACTTCAGCCTGCGCTGGCATAGCACTGGCAGGCAGAATCACTCCCGTCCCAACCTGACTCTGAGTTGGCCCAGGTGGGGGCGGCGGGAGGAAGCAATTCCGTTTATCAGTTGCTCACATGTGCATGTGCTCATGATCCTTCACTCACAGAACGTGGCAGGTCCGTTACAAAATACCATAACCCCTCAGGGCTTTCCTGCTTTTTGTAGCCATTTTCATGGTGGGGGTTTTTTTGGACTGGGTGCGGGGGTTGCTTGCTTGGTTTGGTTTGGTTTGGACTTGTTAGTTTGTTTAGTGCAAGAATAAGAATGTATTAAATTTTAAAGGCACAACCAATTGGAATACAGACTCGTGTGATCCAGTAATTACACTATCCCATATTGCCCATACATCCTGTGGTGGGATAATGCTATTTATAGGGGGGCTGAGAAAGGAAAATGCAGCCAGGTGGGGGCTGGGATCCATGTGTAAATGGTGCTTTCTATCCTCCACAGAAAATGGAAGCCTTTGTGAAGTGCCAGGCTAAATGCTTAACACTGAGGAGTCTTAGACGTTTTGCCCTCCTGCTTTCCATTTTTATGATCAAATCACCCCTGCAAGCTGTTACTTGCTAAATGGTTGGGTGTTATGAGGCAGGCATGTGTGTGAATGTAGTAAAATTAGCAGCTCCTATAGATACACTATATACCTGGACATTGCCATGCATAAAAATTGCACGGCATAGGATGCAGCTTGTCCCTCAGAAACTCTGAGGATGGTCTGTGGCTCAGTGATGGAGCGCTGGCTTGGCAAGCAGAAGGCCCCATGGTCAATCCTCAGTATCTCCATGGAGAGCTGAGGGAAAGTGCTTTCTGGAAGCCAGGAGAGCTTCTGCAAGTCAGTGTCAAGAATACTAGGCTAGATGTATCCCTGGTCTGCCTCAACATAAAACATGGCCCTGCTTTTCTCAGTCTTATCATTCTTGGACCCCCATCATATTTTCAGAGATCAGGACATTGATAGCCTTTGTTGCAAATTTGTCAAAAGCATAGGAATGAAAGACCCTGCAATCAGAAACACATGATGGCTGAAAATGCAAATTCACACAAACCTCATGAGCATTAGACATAATTCTGCTATTGAGTTCAATGGGACTTAACTGTCCTGTACATTTACAGGACTCAGTGGTTTCGATGGAGTTTAGCTACAACTGAAGTTGAGCCCATATTTTAGTTCCTTGCCAAACAGTTCTGTTAATGATGAAGTAGTCCTCAGGCTTCTGTGTATGTTTGTGTACAACAGGGCTTGGAAAGAGGTAGGTCTGGATGGACTTCTGGGTGATCTGTAATACATCAGCAAGGGCATTTGGCCCCCTTTTTCAAATTTCATAACCCTCCTCCTAAATTATACTGCAGAAATGGATGATGTTAGGGTTAAAAGGAGTATATTTTTGTGTGAAAAGACTGTGTGCAACCTCTGATTCTGGCACCTCACTTCTCAGATTTCTTTAGTTCTTCAGTGCCTTTGTACTGTTATCTGGTTGAGTCAGTTCAGAGTTCTGCTAAAAGGGAAAGGAGGCATCACATGGGAGAAATCTGCTACCCTCATTATAGAAGTGAACTTTCTCTGTTTTTAGTCTGTTTCCTTTTGGGATTAAAAATCATAGTCACCAGTGATCCCTCTCTTAAATGAACCCCTGCAGCACTGATTCATGTACTGGCTAATGTGTTGTGTAAATCAGGCTTGCTACACTCCTGATTAAGGTCCAGAGGCGGGGGGTGCAAATGTCAGGGTCTGGATGGTGCACATGAAACGGTGGTTCAGCAATCTCAATTAAATGCCTCTGTGATCTTTGCCCAGCCATTGTGAGGCAGCCATTGCCTCATTAACCTCATGGAATCACTCAGAAAATGCACAGCTTTTATATAAAACCCCTATCATATTCTGGGATGCCTGGAGAGTTCTCCAATGGCTTAACATCATGCTCAAAACCTTTGAAATAGTTCCTTTTTCATCATTAGATGCACTATATGCCATTACATGCTTTCACAGTCACCTCCAGAAAATCTCTCACGTTCCTTATTCAGGAGTCTGATCACAGAAGGTCATTTTTCAGCTAAGTGATAGACAGGGCACTTGGAAGGAAGCCCAGTCTCTGCAGATTGAAGGGTATGTGTGGCTTACCAAAATACCTGAGGCATTTATTTTCACTGAGACATGAATGATCGCCATGTTTAATGTAAAGTCGAGGGAAGTTTGCTGGTTTTAGAACAGGTTCTTGTGGTAGTGTTACAACACTGCAACTTAAGCCTGGATTCACATGATTCACCCCACTGGGATCATCTGAAACAGAGCTGAATAAGGGAAGTCAACCTGTAATGGGGCTCTGCAGTTACCATGCTACAGTCACCCTGTGGATTTCATTACTCTTTCAGAAACTCACATGGGACTGGGTTCAGTGGACACGATAATCTACATCCATGGATTGACTATGGATTGAGTGTATATTGCTGTTGAACTATAGATCGCCATTGCAAGATGGATTATAGTGTTGTCTGAACCCAGCCAAGGTAACTGGGAACCAGTGTGGTATAGTGGTTAAGAGCATGAGACTGGGACTCAGACGATCTGGGTTCTAGTCTCCGCTCAGTCATGGAGCCAACTGGGTGACTTTGGGCCAGTCACAGACTCTCAGCCCAGCCTACCTCACAGGGTTGTTGTGGGGATAAGATGGAGGAGGAGAATGATGTAAGCTGCCTTGAGCCCTTTGTAGGAAAAAGGCAGGATATAAACCGAAAAA